ACACGTCTGTATATTTGTGTACACGTCTGTATATTTGTGTACACGTCTGTATATTTGTGTACACGTCTGTATATTTGTGTACACGTCTGTATATTTGTGTACATGTCTGTATATTTGTACACATCTCTGTATACTTGTACACATCTCTGTATATTTTTGTACTCTAATGTTAGAGCATGTGACCCTGACTCGTTGTGTTTGCTCCACCTGCAGCCAGGAGGTTTCCTGCCATCCAGAAAGTGGCCAGAGCGCTGATCATGGCTCCTCTCCTCACACGGGGCATGAACTCTGAGAAGTAGGAGAAGATGACGGGGATCGATCCTCCGACCCTGCAGAGACAAACGCTGCTCGACTTTAACTAAAACCGCTTCAGCACCGAGCGGGCGGGACGCCGCTGTACGTCTTTATCTTTCTGCAGGAATTTAAAGTGTGAGACTTAAAAAAAACCTCCATCATACGAAGTAACATTTAGGATTTGCAGGAATAAAAATCCAGCACGGGATTATCAGATTTCAATCTGAGTGAGTCGCTCTGTTGACTTTAACCGAGCCGAGCTCCTGAACAGCTGAACAAACCACCCCAAGACTGGAACTTGGAGGGTGTTAAAATATAAATGGGTTAGGATTAGACGAGCTGCAATCCCTGTGAAAATGCAGCGTGAATGCTAAATGCCGAAGAACTGGCTGAAAAACAGCTGAAAGGGCAGAAATAAGCTTAAACTACCAGAAGATGTGGAGAGCACATTTTTGCTTAAATAAGCTGGAAAAAGTTGAAATTATTGCAAAAAGTCTGGAATTAGCTGAAAAAGCTAAAATTAGCATAAAACAGCTAAATAGTAGCTGAAATAAGCTGAAAGGAACATAACAAGCTGAAATTAGCAGAAATAATTTAATTAGGCTTAAAGACGCAGAAATGAGCACAAATTGAAATTCTCTGAAAAAAGCTGAAATTAGCTAAATAAAATGCTGACAAGTAGCTTAAAAAGCAGAAAGAAGCTTAAGTTACCAGACAGACATGGAGAGAGCACATTTTTGCTAAATTAGGCTGAAAAAAGTTTAAATGAGAACAAAAAATGTGTAATTAGCTGAAAAAAGCTACAATTAGCATGAAACAGCTAAATGGTAGCTTATATAGGGTAGGCAAGTATAAGCCTTGGCTTCAGCCTATTCCTTTTTTGGTAAATTATTGATTTGTCAAAAAGTAGTCTATATTGTTTTCCTTTTTCTGTAATGCTAATTTACCAAAATAAAGTTGAGTTGAGTTGAGTTGAGTTGAGTTGATATAGCAGAAAAAGCTGAAACGCATAAATTAGCAGAAAGAAGTTAGAAGAAGCACAAAATATTGTAGTTAACAGAAAGAATCTGGAAGGAGTACAAAACAGCTGAAAAAGAACAGCTGAAAGTAGCTAAAAACAAGTTTAAATTTGCAGAAGGAAGCTGAAAGCAGCTGAAGCAGAACAAAATGTGAAAGGAGCAGTGAAAGTTTGTAAACAGAGCTAAAGATTTGACGGATGGAAAATGAGCTCAATTCATTTCCTATGAGGAAAAAAAAAGGCTAAATATTTAAAAAAGCTAAAGTTGCACCAAAACCAAAAGTCATAGCAGAATGGTCCTGAAAGAGCCGAACGTTTTGATTTAAGATTTGTTGAAACGGACTGAAAACTGCGGGACGAGAATCGAGCTGAAAAACGTACGGAAGAAAAATGGATCACAGCAGAGTGATGCTTCATAAGAGTTCAGTAAATATAAAAACACAGTAAATATAAAAACACAGTAAATATTAAAAAAAATAAGTAAATATAAAAACACAGTAAATATAAAAAAAATCAGTAAATATAAAAAAATCAGTAAATATAAAAAAAAATCAGTAAATATAAAAAAAAATCAGTAAATATTAAAACACAGTAAATATAAAAAATCAGTAAATATAAAAACACAGTAAATATAAAAAAAAATCAGTTAAAAAAAATCAGTAAATATAAAAAAAAATCAGTAAATATTAAAACACAGTAAATGTAAAAAAATCAGTAAACATAAAAAAAAAATCAGTAAATATTAAAACACAGTAAATATAAAAACACAGTAAATATAAAAAAATCAGTAAATATAAAAATACAGTAAATATAAAAAAATCAGTAAATATTAAAACACAGTAAATATAAACACAGTAAATATTAAAACACAGTAAATATAAAAGCACAGTAAATATAAAAACACAGTAAATAGTAAAACACAGTAAATATAAACACAGTAAATATTAAAACACAGTAAATATAAAAGCACAGTAAATATAAAAACACAGTAAATAGTAAAACACAGTAAATATAAACACAGTAAATATTAAAACACAGTAAATATAAAAGCACAGT